GAGAAGACTGGCCCGTTCCAGTGTGCTGACTGTGATAAGGTGTACTCCTGTCGGCCGGGCCTCTACAAACATCGCAGAAGAGAACACTCAGGGGTGGCCCGTAGTAAGCAGCGCAGATGTGACGACTGCGGGAAGCTGTTCTACACCGAAAGCGACCTCGCCAGACACCATCGCGTGGAGGCCAGGACGCTGTACGGGTGTGAGGTATGTCACCGGAGCTTCTCAGACGAGCTGGGCCTCGAGCAGCATCGGCGCACCCACGTCACGTGCGCTCCGTTCCCGTGCGGCGCGTGCAGGAAGCTGTTTGATACGGTCGCGGAGCTCTCGCAACACTACCGCCAACATCCCGGCCTGAAATCAATCAGGTGCGATGTGTGCCGGGAGGCCTTCCTGGAAAAGGCGCATCGCGCAGAACACTTCAGGATCCATATTGACGAGAAGCCTTTTGAGTGTGGTGTGTGTGGAAAGGCTTACCGACTGAAAAAGCAGTTGTCTCGGCACCTTGGGGCGCATGCTGGCTCGTCCTAACTCTCGTCGGGGCGGGGATGGGACGCGCCGGCGTCGTGTCCTCCGAAAGATATTGTTGTACGCTGTTTCCCACGTCCAAGTCGCAAAAAACAGCGACTGTCTTGCATCATGCATTTTATGCCCTGTGCACACTGGTCATGCTTGTTCATTGGTAGGAAGCGTAGTTTTGCCATGTTTGACCGTAGCTGTGTGTTCGTCCACTCGTGTGCTTCTTTTAACGCATGATTGGACAACGTGGTGTGCTGTGAAATATAGGCATGGGTGCAGCTTGTTCTAGCTTCTTTTCATCCGAAGGAAGGTCCGAATTTATGAAATGCCGCAGCATGTATTTTTGTAATATGTAAATTGGTTAAACCGGTTACTGCCTAATTGTGCTCTGTATTTATTTATGACTAGAGATCCTGTCCCTGATATCAAGTATTGTGGGAGTTCAAATGATCGATCTCAAAGTCGCGATCCATTGATCGGTGTGCAATGCTCAAATGTATGCGTCATGTACGTATGTAGCGGCAGCATTGATCGCCACTGGAAACACGTGATGTGGTGTGGGATGAAAGAACGGTAATGATGCCGAGCACGGCAAATCTGTTTGAACTTTCGAGGGCTAAGTCTCCCCTTAAAAACATGATCTATCATGTTTGGAGATCTTTTTGTGTAGCTTTTAGTGATGGTGATGCAATTTTGAACGAGCCGACCCAAAGATGGGTGTCAGGGAAGCGAAAACATGTGCAAAAGTATATGATGTTCCACCCCTTGACAGTGATGTATGTGATAATTTCCACTCTTACGTGACTGATAGCTTTGCATACCGTACGAATATTGATGTATGCAATGCACATGTCAATAAAAATCGTACATTTCGTCGGCGCTTTCAGCCACTTCCCTGTGTTTGGGTCCACACAGTCACCATACTTGAATGACGGGGCCGCATAAGTAGATTATCGCATCTTCATCAAAGCTACTCATATTGTACTGACGTCCCTTATCATATTAAGTGTTTCTGGTACCTCGGCAGGCCCGCGGCGCTCCGCTGCCTTCATCTAAGATATGTTACGTTGTGCGCACTACTTCGCGGCTCGTGCTCCGGTTTCTCCTACGCTGGGAGTGCCACCCATCGTACCGCTCTGGCTGGAAGTCACAATTATGTATAGAATAAAACAACATGTCAAGTATCGACATCCTGAAAGGCGTGTGACGCCGTTAAAACAACTCGAGGCAGTTCTAAGCTTCTCGCATCAGATACAGCGAATTGTCCAGAAAAGGTTCAACTGATCTTAAGCGGAGTTATACTAAGCTTCCCTGCTGTGGGCCCAGGTATTGCGGCTATGGCCGCCGCAGGGCAGGCGGACGTGGCGCCACCGAGTCCGCGCCCGCCTCTGGTGTGCAGCGCCGCCTACCGGGTAGAACTGGCAACACTTCCCGGAACTCAACCGGGCGCTCGGAGGCATGAGGGCGTGTAAGGTATATGACGGCTTTTTTTGCGTCTGGCATTGTACCATCCGGCTGAAAATTAGCTACTGTTGTTACCAGTATTTGAATCTGGAAGTACAACTGATCCAAACAATGATAGACGGACATTTACCCTGCCGCCTACTGTAAAAATGACTGAACGAGCAGTGTGCGATTCACTGATGGCTTATTCATCACAGCTCTCCATGCTGTGTGGTCGACGACATGGTTTCCGGCTCGGACACTCCACGGGAGCGGTCATGCTCAACGCGGCGATGTATCTTTCGGAACTCTTCGACATCGGAAAAATTACTCCGTTAAAGGCGATAAGCACGTCTTAAGTCTTCAACACCGTCGAGCATGGTCGGTTCCTGGAGTAACTCGGGTGGCATGGTATTGATTCTCATTGGCTCCGAGACGGTCTTTGTAATCGCGGGCGGCGTGAAATTTCCACCTCGTGTGCGCGGCAGAAATTACGTTTCACCGTTAAGTCACGGTGTAAGCCAGAGTTTAGTTTTGGAACCCATCTAATTGGTATCATTAACAAACGATTTTCATCTTAAACAACCTAAATCAAACCTGTCGTGTATGCAATGATGATCATTTAATCCACGCATGTCCTCCAGACGCCTTAATGTGCTTTGGAGATCGCAGCAAGAAAACTAGGCAGCATCTGACTCCCGGCTCGTGCAAAATAATTTCAAAATGAATCTGACAAAACACATTTTGTCCCACTACACACACGTCAGCGATGATCAGGTGCTAGATATTCTTTTGAAATCACGTTTTCTGTTACACAAGCCTCTCAGTCCGTCAAAGTCCTTGACATTGTTGCCTGGACGGAAATCCGCCTTGGGAATTACGTGTCTGCAGAAGTCATGCGATGTTATGCATACATCCCGGGATCTTAAATCTTTGGAGAAGCTGAAAGAGAGTGTGTGCGAGTCGTAAATGGTACTCGTCGCTATAACCATGCTGCTCTAATCTTAGCCGACTCAAAATAGCGAAAATGTGACAAGCTCTTAGCTGAACGTGACCTGGCGCCAATGTACAGAGTCCTGCACACGCCTGCCTCGCCGATATCTCCGAAGGAGTGCGTGGTGTACCGCGGTGCAATGTCAGTCCGTGTCACCGCGTGGTGCCGCCGATATCATTTTAGGGCTGCTAAATGTGTGCACAGAGATAGTCCACCGGAGTGCTCCCTTCCGGACTGCTTCCACATGGAACAGACCTGCGGAATCGGCCAGCACAAGAGTGCATGATCGATTGATAGACAAAACAATGGGTCACGTGATTTATTCCGGCTTTTATCACGACAAGCTGCTTTTTTCATGATCTGGCGGATTTCTAGGTAACAGGTTAGGACAATTGAAAACAGCAAAGGTGACTGCATACCTGAAATTTTCAGACAGTCTCTAGAACAAACATGGTGCGGGCCACTTCATGCGAATCATGCAGGTGCTGTCAGATCCCGAAGCAACGTTGTTGATCACACAGAGTCCCCGTCGAGCACAGCTCATGTCTCCAACGCTCATGTAAGATTATTGAGATGGTGACATCGTTTTGAGTGGTGCTGCATTTCGCGTCTCGCCTGGTTCGAACGACTACAATTTATCAAATGGCTGGGCTGAGTTGGTACTCTTCGTGTCTTTAGTTTATGACAATCTCACTGATTTTAAAACTTCTACCGATACATTTTTTCCCCATTCCATCTTCTCATTTCTATATAGCGTGTATCATCAGACTGCCTACCCAAGGTCACCGTTCGGTCTGGTTACACCTGTGTGGCGCTCTCGGCATGCCGGCCTTTTCCATGAGTCATTTGTAAGACTAACGCTGTTCAAATGGACTTGTCACGCGTCTACCCATTGTCTGCAATCGTTTTCTTAAGCACTTTTGCCCAACTGTATAAAATAGAATCATTTCCAGCGCGGCTTGCTCAGACTCTACTCCGGGAGCTTTTCTTTGATGTCTGTTGCATCTGAGTGCTCAGTGTATAAGGCCATTCGTTTTTGTGCTTGTTTTTCTCTTTAACTGGGCTGATTACCTTGGCCTGCGAAACGCTTGCGCCCAACGTGGCGAATAAGCAATAGTCAGGCCAGACGACTAAATGGTCCACCAGAGTCACGCGCCATCAAAAGCGCCTTTGAAATCACACGCCATTCGAAAGAAGAATGCCCTGGGCGTGGTCAGCCCTCCAGTGGGGACCGTTTTCCTGAGCGGGCCAAGACCAGAGGTAAACAGGAACCTCAAACATCATTCCAAGCTATGTAAAGACACTCACCCAACTCAGGAGTCTGCCTAGCCCCTGACGCCCCTGACAGGATGTCATGCACCGTGTTCCACTCCATTCAGGAAGACAAGTTGGGAAACGAGTCGCCTGCATTTATTTTATTATAAAAAATACCATCGCACACATTTACCCTTTCTTCGCTTAACGCCGTCAGAACCCGAGGCCTGACGCCAAAGCACTAACCTGCGCCACTCGTGTTCAACATAAAGGACAGTTTGCGAAAAGCACGACGACCGTGTTTCTTGACGCACGACGCAAACCTGGGATCCGTGGCCTGGATCCAGCTGCCGGTATTCGGCCAGTTCCGGGTTGTAGGAATAATTTTGGGTGTTATGATCGACTAGATAGATATTAATACACATTAGGTGTCAACACCGCAAGGGCCCGCATGCATACATTGCGGGGAAATGGCTTAGCCATAGGTTTGGAAACCGCCAAGTTCACCTTCCCACTTTCGAAGCCACTTTTGCACACAATTGCGTGCTACTTACTGGCTGAAATCGTACAAGGGCACCTCGTCACGACTACCTCGCGCAGTCCTTAAATCCATGCCCAAAGCAAGCGAGAAGGCCACATCATAAAACACAAATATTCACGGTGCTTTTGATCCATCAGCCTTCAGCCCTCCTCGGCGGCCAAGAGCGCACCACTGCCGAGCACCGCGCCCCCGGCGCCACGGGCCGCTGCCGCGCCGGCGCCCGGTGGTCCTGCCACACCCAGGACCGGCCCGCTAACTGCACATCAGTGGCCGGCGGCCCGTGGTCAGCGCGTGGCGCAGACAGCTGGCCCGGCGGAAGTGGCGCAAGTCGCGCGCCATGCACGCCTCCAGGAAGCGACGCAGCGGTAGCACGTGGGAGCGGCGCGCAGTCCAGTCGGTGAGGAAGTCCTCCAGAACATGATGGATCAGGGTGGCGGTGGGCAGTGCCCGACCCGTTGGCTTCAACATCATGTCCACCTCTGGAACGGGCAGGCCGTGATATGAGTGTTTCATGGGTGAACGAGGTGGTTCGATGAGGTGCGTTGGGTAACAGAGGAGAAGCGACGACCTTAAGTTTTTCCGGAGGAAAGAAATGGTGGGTGAAGAAATAAAATACTCATGATTACCACAGAACGTCATAGTCATAGTACCCATGCCTTTCTCCATACGTTCACTGTCTCCTGCCCACACCTTTACACGCCTGACAGTGGCGTAGTTAAGGGAGGGCTTCTGACACTATAAGTTCCCTCCTTTGGATCTGAAAGTCCATATAATTTCGAGCAGTGATGATGTTTGGGGGCTTTTCAAACATGGAAAATGGGCTCCGAGGCATCCAAATAGGGTCACGAAGCTGAAGGGTCCTTTGATCTGAAGACAGGGCTTACAATCAACGAAGGGAGGCCTTACTGGGCTGAATGCGTCCCAATGACTTGATTTACGCCCTCTTGGGCTAAATTCTGGCTGTGTTACTTGTACCCTCGAGCGCCTCATGACGCGCCCTAATCATAACGGAACCTTGCACTGCTCTCATGGAGATTCATCGAAAAGGTTGACTTAATATGCTGGTCGGGCAAAAATATTTTAAGGTTATGTTCCAGTCAACCACTAGCCAATTTGCTTAAAGTGGGGATGGCCTCACATTTGGACCTTTACGTGCCCACGAGAAGTAAACGTTTCGGCGGCGGTGGACCTGACAGACCGTCTTATCTGTTGAGTCATTTGTATGTTTGACACGAGAGGCTCGACTTAATGAAGACATGACCAATACTGTTTGCATTGTGAGGAGTGGGGCATTAGCCGACGTCCAGAAGGTACGCTAAAAATCACTGTGGGACAAGGCTCAACTAAATTTAGTTGTCATTGAGGCAAAATTAAAGCAGTAAATGTGTAAGTGGTGAGGCCGATTACATCTTCATAAACACTGTCGTAGCGTGTCACGGATCAAAAGTGTCCTGCAGCAAGTAAATGTCAGAACACCTACTTGCTGCATGATGGTTAGCCAACGCAGTATGATAGGATGCGATAATGATATGAAAATATTTAATCTGCTGGCACATTTCTTCATCTAGCCTCAAACCTGATACAGCTGACATGCTGATATTTTGATCAGCCATGTTTGTCATTTTTGTTTTTTTCCGTATTTGGGTGAGGGGACGCTGGGAATGTTCTGGTTTTCATAACATGCCGACTCTCACCAGTGGGTGGGTGCTGATAGAAGTACATCACCGGGTGCAGGAAGTTTGACTTGTCCGCGTGCAGCGGGTCCGACACGGCCCGATCCCACCGGAACGTGTCCTGTTCCGGTCCGCTGGAACACAGCCCAGACATTGACGCCTCCAGTGGAGCCATGCCTTTTCGCTCCAAGACGCCGCGACTGACCCACCGGCACTGATAATCCTAGTGCTTGTTTATTCCTGTGGCAGATGCGCATGAACGCCCAACTGCACTCAACTTTTGAAAGCTGACGCATTAAGCAGCCCTAGTCCACGATCTGGAGTAAGGACGCTTGTGACGTGCCACGACAGCGCTTTTGTTTCGTCACATGTGGAGCTTCTAGGGGTTATTCCAGAAATTATCGATCCAGTGAGTGCAGCTCCTTTCGAGTTACTTCCTTCGCCGGTCATGGACACTGCAGTTAGATGTATATGCGACTGGCTTCCGATTGTCAGCAACAACGTTTGCCTGAGCCTCTGTCTGCGCTTCGCCGGACAGCACTGCTGCCGCTGGAGCAGCCGTCCATACTCGACCGCCACGTGTCCAACGCCGGTGTCCTCGCTGCACCAGAGCCAGCCGAACGCGCTGGTACGCCCACCTGAAGTCATCGCCATACTCCAGCAACAGCACCAGCAGCTGGTCGGCCGCGCTCGTGCGCTCACCTGAAGTCATCGCCATACTCCAGCGACAGCACCAGCAGCTGGTCGGCCGTGTGGCCCGTCGTCTCGGTGAAGCGGTGCAGCAACGCCACAGGAAACTCGGGCACCAGCAGGAACCCGCCCCTGCTCCTGTCGAGGGAACGAGGACGGCTCGCAACGGAACTCAGTACGGCAGGAACCGGAGCCGGTCACTGTCGAGACAACGGGACAGCACGGATTGAATCAATGCACTGAAAAGTCGACTCCGCTCGTGTCAAGGAAAAAGAGACGGTTCGTAGCGACATGCGGTCCTGCTGCGCACCAAACGTCGCTCTGTGGCACCCGCCCCGAGGAGACGACTTGAAGCGTGACGCAGACGCAGGATCGCAGGATCAGCGTGGAACTATTCGCAATCGGCTAATGTGGACTGACTATTGCTCCAAACAAAATAGACGGGGTAGAATTGATCCAAGTGAACTGGCGTTGCTTGTTTGGTAAGAATTTAACAACGTTAAACACAGGCTTCTACATGTTCACAAAACCTGCAGCATCGGCCAAAATACAGCACACTACAGGATATGATTATGGTAACATATGATAAGATATTAATATTTGTTGGCAACTGTATCAAGCTAACCGTTGTTATTGCAACGATGACTGAGGCTTGCCTGCAGCGACTTAGCCAAGGCTCAATGCTTAGTGAAACGTCGACGCCATTTAAAGCGATGCTTTTCGCACAACGCCGCAGCTCAAGTGTAATTTCAAACATTGCATGTTGAAACAGTTCAGAAGAGGGGGAAAAGACACATTCGCATCTCCATTCTGTAGCGGGGTCTACGCTTCTCTGCTGGCTGAACATCTCAGCTACAAGCATAAGAGGGCGACGTGAGAGCTCACGTACGTGAACACCTACTTTTGGAAGACGATGATGTCGCAGAGGACGGAGAACATCTGGTAAGGTCCCGCCGCTGTGTTGAGGCGGCGAACCACCACATTCACCAGTTCCGCTAGCGGCCACAAGGTGGCAGGCCAGGCGGAACGGTGGTTCCTCCATTCTAAGATACGGTGCAGTGCTCGTGCTGAAACACAGTCGTCTACACGTTAGATAGCAATGTGATTGGCTGTAAATGCTGCCATATTTCCATCGCCAATCACCAGACCCCATCGTCAATTTTCGACATGCGATGCATCATTGTGGCAGCGCGCTCCATAAGGCTCCATATCCCATCATTTGTAAAGTGATTGCCAATGTTATTACCTTTTCGAAAGACAACTTTGTCGGCACTGTCAAAACTCAGAGTGTCGGAAGCGCATCACGTAAACCTATCCACTCAGCCGCTGACAGGCTCCTTTCTATCGAACGTCTCGCCACTTGGGACCTAACTTCCGCTATACACCGACGGAGTCGCTACCTCGAGTTCAGTGGTCCCGGCCTTTGACGCTCCAACACCACCGGTGCCGTGTGTGACAAGGCGCGATGTTCAGCTTAAGTTTTTTTCAGCCGCCCTACCGATGCATGTCTTGCATCATTCCGTTCTGCTTTCAAGGTCACAAGCCCCGCGAATGTTATCTAAAACTGTGGCAATATTTTTTATATTCAGCATGTTTACTTTTTATAATTACGCATCATATATTTACTGAGCGGTCCAGCCTGGGCCTTACGTGTTCGACAAGCCGTTTTCACCCACTGACAACAGGCTTGGGCAGTTTGCAGTAACACGAAACGCAACTGAGTTTCTAGATAGGATGGATGAAATATTTCATATTTGCACGTAAATTGTTTGATCTGTAGGGATTATCTGCAACATTACAAGATTGACACGAATTCGCCCTACTCGACTGGCATTCACCGGCAAAACTGTCACTTCATAAAACAGCTTAAAGCAAGGGTTGAAGCCAGGTACAGAATATGACGGGATGACCTCTGGATTAAATACCTCACATCACATTGGACATCACCTATGTCCTACTAGAAGTTTGACGGCGCCTGGGAGCTTATGTGTGCACCAGGAGTGTACCGACGCCTAAAGGCTTATCCGTGTTCCACGAGTCTGACGTTGTGCCGGGCCGCGCCCATTTACCAGAAGCATGACCGCATCGGCGTGCGGAAGTATGGCAGTATTTTACATCCCGCCCGTGTCCCGGAAATATGGCAGTGCCTCGTACCACAGCAGTGCACCTTAGCGCCAGTGGCACCTCACGCGCCACACGGGTGCTAGCGCCGCCTCACACGTCGTCTCTGCGTGAGAAGTGCGCCCGCGCCTCTCGTCGCACCTGTGTACCGGAAGCCGTGGATGAAGCCGCCGGCCGACCTCCGAAAGTCGAGCGCGTGACTGGCCACGCCGGCGAAGTAGAGGCCCGGGCTGACCGGCGAGCCCCAGTCGGCCTTCACCGCCGGGAACTTGGCGTGCGCGCTCGTCGTGCCCGGACTGGTCGCACTGCAGACACGGTTAGGGCCAGATGGGATGGCTGGCAGTAAAGAGTGCCTCGGCTGCTGGGGCTGTTTTGCGCTCTGATCGATCAAGGTCCGCTGGCAATCATAATGTAGAATGGCGAAGTGATAATCATTGATCATAATACCGAAAGGTTACGTTTATGAACGCATTACCAACCTACACAGAACATAGCAAAGCATCCTCCGTTGAATGTAAAATGGATAAACTGATGCGTTGCCAAAAGTTATGTGCAAACATCCATGTGCATAGAACATGCCTGGACAAAATATAGCTTAACCTTGTGACCAGCGGGGTAAGGTATCAACGCCTCGCCAGTGTTCATTTAGCTGCAGAACCACCCGCGCAAGCGTCGTCAAATTATTGGTGCCTACGACACATCATCTGCGATATACGCGGACATTGTTAGGTCTAGGTTATGTTGTGTCACTGAACTAGACGGATTGAACTGTGGCCACAATATAGTACTACGGAGCATTTCCTACAGGGCTGTGTTTGTCACAGTGGCTGAACTTGACCTCTAGTTCTGATCAGATATATTTTGATTCAACTCTAAATCAGCTTTCGAATCAAACGCATTGTTAAAAGGTGATTGGAATAAGCTGTTGACACAAACAACTTAACACAACGGATTCTTACCCTGATTGTGAATTCAGCAAAGTGGCGTGCCATTCATGATCTAAATTAGTAAGATTTGAAATGAAATAAGTGTTTCGCGTCCAAAAACAACTAACGATATCTCCAGAATTTCACATGTCCATAACTGATAGTTAAATGGAGTGGTCCACATTTATATGGGAGGAGGGGGGGGGGGGGGGGCTTGAACTGAAAGAGCAATCTTGAAGACCTGTCGGTGCTGTTCACAATCCTGCCCCACCGTAAGGCCTAAGCTACTCTTGTTTCTGGGCTGCACGCCCGCGAAAATGAGGAAAGGTATATCAGAGAGGGTATTCAGTCACCTTGATTCCAGGACATCACATTACGCCATTCTAATTCTGCCTTTCAATAAGTCATGTGGTGATCAAGGCCAATAAAAATGTAATTGTAAGGCGTTCATATCTGGTGTTCGTGGGCGAAATTTTCAGATATAACGGCAGTCAATTAGTTCTCAGACAAGGCTGTGCAAGATACGATGGCTCGATTGAACTATGGCACATTTGGGGGCATATTTGCTAAACTAAAAAAAATCTAATCTGATCAACATAACGGCACAAAATGTTGTCGTTAGCTAGAAGTTTGAATCGTGCTTCATTCACGGATGATTCGGATGATTTTGCGCTTAAAGCCCCTATTTTAACAATAATCGGCATTCATTTCACCAGGAGGTACCGGTTAACACGCGCGCGGGCGGCCGGCGGGATACCCTTCGCTCGGGTGAGGGGGTCAATTTGACCCCGCTGAGATCTCGGGAACTAAGCGAGCAAGAAACGCTAAATTCACAGAGTGTGTTGACCTGTACGTGGACTCACTTAGGTCAAAGTTTGAGGTTCATAGAGCATGATCTTCGGGTCAAATAAGGTCAAACAATGTCAATTTCTGGTTGGTCTCTAAAGTGCTCCCACAACCTAGATAACTGTGTCTAAGCAAAAGGTCACATGCTCATTTAAGGTCAGTGAACTTGTTTGACCTTTTAAAGGTCATGGTGACCAAAATCATACAAGACTGCTCTGAGCTTTGCACTTGAATAACTGATAGACATTACGCTAGGCAATGCGTTTCTAAAGAAAAAAATGTTTACCTGCGGCACTTAAGGTCAATGACCTATTCAGACCTCTAAGAAGTCCATGCAAGATGTATAATGCGGTCCCTGCTATCAATAAATTCGAAAGGAGCACCAGCAGCTATCTCATACAGCAAGCCTTAGAGCAATAAAACAGGCTGGTTTTGACCTTGGTCTGACTTCCATACCTGACCTTAGGCCACCTTAATTCGCTTATTAAATACTTGTGTTGCCTAAAAAAGCACCTCAGAGATGTGTGGCTTCTTCTAACACTCCGTTGTTACAACGGAATGGATGACTACCTAGAAATTGACTTCGCTGAAACCATGGTCTAACTTTGACCTGTCAGAGGTCAGCAACGTTACAAGATACATCTAATTTTTTGATGCGAAAGGATCCGCTATTTAATTGACTACAGCTATGCAAATTTGGCGCGGCTACGCCGCGTCGCTCGGAAACCATTCTAGAAAGACCTATGGGGGGTCGATTTGACCCCACCCGAGCGCGCGTTGAACGAGCTTATTGAGCAAACATTGGTAATGCCAAGCCTCTGCTACGTTCTGACAGCATAATGTAAATTCGTCGCCCGTAAGTGTGATCATTAAACCAAACGTCGCCGCATTTCCTTCATCATTATTTCATCACCGCAGGCTTTTGTTGACATTCAGTCCTTATTTTTTAGGTAAAGTTCCAGAAGCGTAAACTTGTTGGTGTTTACCAGACACTATCGATTCCTCATCTAAATGCGCCGCATGATGCCGAATGCTCATGATAAAATAAACCAAATGACGATGCAATTTAACGTCATGAGGTTTAAGAGACCACTCCGTTGAACAAGATGCCAAAACTCTAAAAAAACATAAAGACTGGTACATATACAAGCTACTTTCAAACTAGGAAAAGTTACAGCTTCCTGATATCGGAAAAATGACAACCCCAAATCTTATTTGGAGTCGCAAGGGCTACCCAACATTACCGAATCTTTCCGCCAGCACCTTTCAGCCCTTAGGTCGCACGGGGCGGTTACCACAACCTTTCAATTCTATTTGGCACGTGGCCCTGTCAGCACCAGGGCTAAACAGGAGTCCACTCTGCCCGTGTCACCGAAATGAAACGTAAAAGTTTGCGTCACTTCCCACGCGATAGAACATGGTCCCAGACTCGGCACATGCAGCGACCTTCAAACTTGTTCAACATGCTTCACTTAGTTCAAGTTAGGTCGTTCAAAATCCTCAGGAGCTTGTCTGGGCAAAAGTCAAAGTCAAGGCGGTATCGAATCGAGCCGATGGCCTGTCCAGGCCGATATTTCGGGGCGGTGCACAGGGACGGCGATGTTACTGCACGCCTGTGGAGAGTCCCACCCAAGCAGCGTTCCAAAATTCATCCAGTAAGGTGTCCAGGATGTAAACATAAACCCATTACTGGCACGCTGGTAATCCACGCTGATACTCCGGAGGCCTCCGCACGCAATTCGTTGGCGCCAATTCGTTGCCCTCTGACCCCAAAACCTGTCCAGACCATTTGACAAGTCTGAGGCTCCATAATGATTGGTTGATCGCGGACCGATTCAATGCCGATCGGCCGATTTTGAGCAAGGAGAGGGGCAACAGGCAATGAACCGCAAGCTGAGAGTGTAATAAGACGACAAAACATCGACCGCCGCCCAAATGGCCGAGCATTGAAATACTGCATATAAGAATAATTCGATTTCGTGCGGTTGTCATTGCGGCCAAGCACGGAAAAAAACGACTTTAAGAAACGAAGTACGACTGGGATGTCACCACCATTTTTGCAGCGTGACGCCTCGGTCAGCCGCATGCGGACTGATGTCGGGACATTGTCATGACAGCAAGGCGGTGTTTGTCTGGACAGAGGACAGCGAGCACAGTCGGACAGTGCAGCCGGGCAGCGCATCTGGACAGCACAGCCGGACAGCACGCCCGCGACCCCTCACCCCCTCCCCCCGCCCACGTGTTCCGGAGGGTCGAACGCAGCCGGATGGCAATCGCCAAAGTGTATGTGGTGTTCGGACTGCCATCGAAATGACACTAAAATTCCATTGATTATTATCACCAGCGGGCAACAGAGTAAATCCAATCCTCGGGGCGAGCATTTGGTATATGGGTTTCAGGAACTGTCAGAACTCATCGCAAAGGCCGACGGCCGGGAGAGAGAGATAGATATCGCGCGGTGAGGCGTTAAAAATGCATTGGCTCTAGCCATCGGTACCATTTATCAGGATTGGTTACAGGGCCAGTGCACTGGGCGCATCTAAGGCTGCCCAGTGCTCGGTGACCTCGAATTCGACGAGCAACAAACCGCCCACCGCTCCCCTGAGTTCAGTCATGGCATCGGATTATAAGAGATGACGCTGGGGTATTGGCAGATCTTTGATGGTAGATAGCACGGCTGGGGCTTGCTAGCCTGTCGTCCAACGAGTGAACAAACCACATATACAAGCCCCTTGAGCTCGGTGAGGGCATCCGATTATTGAAGATGGCGATGGGGCCTCGGCGGATCCCTGATGGCGGGTGGCACGACTGGGGGCGGATGGCACGACTGGGGGCGGATGGCACGACTGGGGGCGGATGGCACGACTGGGGGCGGATGGCACGACTGGGGGTTGCTTTACTGCAGTCTAAACAGTGAACAAACTACATGTACAAGCTTTATCACGAGTTCTTATGCCGAGAATCAAGGACCTAGATGTGCCTAGGGACTAATACGATGCAGTTGTTGACATTGATTACATCGCACTGATAGAGCATTGGTACTGTTTAACTAGCACCTCCTAGCATTTTGAAGGCTGATTATTATAAGCATAACAACAGGTAATGCCGTACAATCAGGAGTTCAAAATACTTTCGCTTACACCACATGTACAAGCAACGGTACAAGCTCTGCAGGCCCTGACAACCGGTGGCAAACGGTAAAAATGACGGTCGTCAAATGAAAAGCTGTCAAAAACTGAGTAAGATGCGGACCATTCTTGTCGATACTTATTCAGCTTTGCAGGCACAGTCAAACTGTGATTACACCAAGGAACTGCGCTATCGCAGTATTCGAAAGATAATGTAGGGATCGCGGCCATCTTTTCATTATCCTGCTTATTATGATGCCCCAAAATGTTATCAGCGAATCCACCAGCTGACACACATTGTGAACGTTCGCCGAGGTCGTACTACTCAGACAACAGCGTGTTGACTGAATGATGGCCGATGTCTCACTACTCGGGTACTTTTTGGCGATGTGTAACAAGACCGTGGCAAATAAGACATGAGCCAAGGGATGGGAAGCTTATGCACTTCACCGTACCAGATCACGTTTGCACCGGGCGTGCGGATGCCGGTGTGAGCTCACCGCCAGGCGTGCATTTTCTGTTTGTTGATGTGCACATCTGAACCTTTGGGTTAAACAATTGCTCACGCATGCATGCCGTGTTTTGGCTGGAACATGGTATGGTATTGTGTGAGCATAATATGCATACCTACGCATAGCTGCATATACACACACATACATATATATATATATATATATATATATATATATATATATGTATGTATAAATATGCATATCTACATAGCCCTCCCTACATATGTATGTATATATATATATATATATATATATATATATACATGTGTGTGTGTGCGTGTGTGTGTGTGTGTGTGTGCGTGTGTGTGTGTGTGTGTGTGTGTGTGTGTGTGTGTGTGTGTGTGTGTGTGTGTGTGTGTGTGTGTGTGTCCACTCCATGCAGTCGACAGTCCTTCCATCGACGACTGTTAAACGCCACACCCAAACTGCCCTCGGAGACTTACCTATCAAAAATAGAAAAATCGAACTTAAATCCAAGGCACCCGACGACGGCGTCGTAGCCATCCCGCATGGAGAAGTTATCCTGCAGTTCGGCGCCCCCCGTCTGCTTGGTCTGCGCCGCGCCGGGCGGCGGCGCTGCGCAAACGTCGCGCGCCGCGCTGCACGCGTCGCTCCCATTGGCCGTCCGGTTGAGGGACGTCACGAGCGCGTGGTGGACGGTGTGCGCACGCGGCTCACGGGACCACCAGACAGCGGGGCGCACGTGAATGCGGCCCTCGTGGCGCACTAGGCGGATCTCCTCGATGTCCGTTTCCAGGAGGCCGTCCAGCGACTTGAGCTGGTACGTGTCGAGGAGGTTGTTGTTGATGGCCCTGCGCGAAGTAATGTTCGACGTGAGGTGGCATACGCTGTTCAAGCGCACACTGTTAAGCACTTGATACGGAGCGACGTGCGACAGTATGCTCTTGCAGGGGCGTTGGAGCACTCCAGAAGAGGGGTCGAACCTTGCATTAGTTATCTTTCCTTGTACATTACCACCCTAACCTTCGTTTTGAAAGGGGGCCGGGGGTCGATGCGACCCTCGAAGACTTGTTGATATCTCTCCGGCGTGCCATGAATTTGCGCCCAATTTTTTCGCTAGCCTATAAGACACTCATTGTGCATATTTTAAACACCAATAACGTGTCTCTGCTATTTCTGCTTTCTGAGAGCAGCCCCATGGAATCAGGATGAGGGTTAAGCATACTCCAAAACTATGTGGTGACGCCCCCGAGGCCCTCGTTTTCCGCGCGTATAACGATTAACGCAGGGAATTCATGCACAGATGTGGGATAGCAGAGGCTGACCCGCTGTGCTCCAGCTTTCCTCTCAAAGCTAGCGCGATGGCGTCACGATATAGAGCACGTCGTGTCACATGGCGGCATGATGAGGTGACGTACATCATCTCGAAGGTGTACAACATGGCCGTCAGGTGTAGACGATGTGACGAAGATCTATGTGGTGTTCATGGTGGGATGCGGCATACCGCATCGCCGGCTAGAGATCCCGCTGAATGAGGGCAGCCGATCTACATAGCCGTCTTTCAACCGGACATACACACTCGAACGATCCTGTCAGCCTGTGCTCGCTGGCAGCTTGCATTGTTCCGCTGTCGAATACCGACCACCGGTATCGGCCGGGCCACACTGTCATCATCTTCGCCACCCTCCGCCTCGCGTCATGACAGGCTCTCCAAGCATCCGGTGCGCACGGGGAGCGGAAGGACTGACCTCAGGTCGCCCACATAGTGGGTACTCCAGGCGAGCCGGGCGCGACTCCGGGCCACCATGTGTACCAGGTTGGTGTGTCCGGAAATGTTCGAGGCCGTCTCGAACGCAGCGTTGCCTGAAATGAAATTATCTGTCGTCGTGTGTACAGCTGGGAAATATGGTAAAGTGAATGGAGTCGTTTGACTTGTGATGGTGGAACTTTGTTTCAATTATCTCCTTAGAGTGCTTTATGCCGAGCGTAGCGGCGCAAATGACGCTGTCAGCCGGAGACGTCCATAAATGATCCACGGAAACGGATGTCAGTAGCTTTACTGTTGCAGCTTGGCATGATATGCACAGTCCATGCATCCCGGTCGTGCCTGTACGTGGCTGAGATTGCAGCAGACAGAGCAAGGACACAGTGGTTTGTGCTGTTGCCCGTGCCACCTGATAGACAGAGCTGGAACAGACTGACAGCTAAAGCGCACCGCAAAACGTTTATTGATAATGTAATCCACCGGTGACTAATGCATCTGTGCGGTAACGCGCGTCATCTGTATCGGCCATAATCAGCCTGATGGTTAATGTTATCATCCTAAAAACGTCTTGATAAGCGAGAACAGCCAAACCTCACGACATAATGAAGGAAATGCTTTGATGACAGATCAGCCACGTGTCCATTACGTAATGATGGCATAGGGAAATACGTTGACAAATTTGTAGGCATAACCTGTAGATATGACCGCAGATACACAGACTTGACAATATATAGACACCTACGAACTTGGAAATATAAGAATGTCCGTATATATATATATATATATATATATATATATGTATATATATGTATATATATATATATATATATATATATATATATATATATATATTTATATACACGGACATTATATATATCACAGCTATACTAACGGCAACAAATATGTGCACACAACTGATACCTCATAGCGATACTGACATAAGTGGATGTAGGCTGCACGCTGGTAATGTGCATCAGCCACAATTGTCACTGATTACTCCATCATGCTTAAAATTATTTTACGCTGATGATGGCAACAATACATCCAATGCCCAAAATATGTAAATCGTCCTCAGAGTTGGGTCCATCATGTAGCATTTTGTGTGGTACTACACGACAGGCCACTCCCGAAAATTCAGGTCAATGTTCATAACTGACACATGGCTCAATAGGACCTAGGTATTGTCAGCAGGACTTGTGACACTGTCATCAACGTGACTGCTCTGTGAACTAATATTTCGAATCCCATGGACCCAGAGAATCCTCCTATCCGCCCCCTTATATCGCTGCGAGTTCCCCCACAGGCTCGGAAAGCGTACCTCTGCCCAGAATGAGCACGTTCTGCCCCCTGAAGCGCTCAGGGTCCACCGCAACTTGGTCGTAATGCTGGATGTGCTCGTGACCGGATATGGCTGGCTTGTTGGGCTGCCACAGGCCCGTGGCTACAATAACGTACCTGGAAACATGTGCAGCAGTGAACATGACACACTGGTGTGCGTACGTCAAGAAGGGAAGGCGTGTCTGCACGCACACGCCTGGTAACACATTAAGTACGCAGCCAAAGCATTGAAAAAACCATCAAACGTTGATACTGGCTTTTAGCCATGAGGCAGAAGGGGTGAGGTTGAGTTGAGCTAATCGACCCTGTATTGAGTTTGGTTACTTGACCGTGACTTCGGCAGATATGTGCGCTACTGTTAAGCCAATCCTGTCAATTCTTGTGGATTTTTTAACCAGAATTTCTCGGAGCGTTATGCTTTAGGAACACTCCTAAACAGATCAGCTTAACTCACTCCGTTGGTAGAAAACCACTTTCGTGATCGCAAAATGGTCTCATGGACGACCACTGCCAACAGAGCACGCGTTGATGGTGGAAGTAATAGCATCATTTCCGGCATGTCTGGTCTCCAGGGTCTTTTGACCCCGATGTCACCTGCCCTCCAAAGTAGCGTGACCTCCTGACCTCACCTGCAGCCGAGTACCCCGGCCGACGTCTGCAGGAGGAGCATGTCCCGGTGGGCCCGCTCTACTCTCGTGACGTTCACGCCGTAGCGTACGTTCAGGCCCGTCTTCCGCTGGAAGTCGCGCAAGTACTCCACCATCGCGTCCGCCTGTCCGTAGGCCGGAGAAATGGTGACCGTGCCAGCATGTTGCGCGCCCGGATCATCCCCGATCGTCCCGGAACATCCCGGATCATCCGGGCGCGCACGTGTGTTTGCCATGCAGCACGTACGCGGCAAAATATGCTCTGTGTATCCCATTGCTGGCTGAATGGGCGTCATCGGGGGTCGTAGCCAACAAACACAGAACCTGCTAACGCCCGTTGGTGGTGTATGTGGTACGACGGTTGCAGCAGCGAACGCGCAAAAATATCAATGAAGTTGGCCGAATTAAAACAACAGTGATTAGAAACATCTTTCCTTTGCATTCATTACCAACCTGCTTCCATTACCGGATGGGAGCGTCTCCGTTCAAAGACCACCTAACAGCCGCGTCATGTTTCACTTGCAAGCCTTTTCGCTCACACCGCGCACGCTGGTACGCCCGATGTGTTAGTTTGCGCTACTTCTGCACCATTGCTGAACTTCACTCCCTGCATCCCCACAATATTGTGTGAGCCTCGCACGCTGGCTGATATTGTGTCCATCCCCGTAGAGCGCCGCAGCTACTCCGGGAGACAGCGGTAAGCCGATCCTCACGTCGGCGCTTCAGAGCCCGCGGTGGCCACAATCAGCGCCGCCAAGTCCTGACGGCATGTCATCACCGACGCCGCCCGCCTGTCGTCAGCCAGCCCCCCGCGGGCGATGAATCCGAAGCGGTCCGACGGCGGCGCGGCAGAGAAACGGCCTGCCACTCACGTGAGGGAAGAACTCGGACGAGTAGCGCCGGAAGACCAGCGACGGGTCGTCACTCAGCAGCGAGTTCCAGTCGTGTCGCTCGTTGAACTCGCGGTTCACCTTCCCCGTGTGCTGTTTGTTGATGCTGATCAGGGTTCGGTGGCGGGGGTACTTCTTGAAGAACGAGCCTGCGACGGGCGGAAAGCGATTCACATCTTTTATGCATGGGATCGATAACGACATTACACATAACGTCGAGTCAAGCATTGGATGGCATGAATATTAAATGTCTCTTATTGTGTCAAATGTTGCGAATCGTTTGCAGGTGGAATTCAATTGCGTCGAATGCTGCGAAATGTTTGCAGGCGGAATTCAAAGAACTATATATATATCTGTCCTCTTTGTGCTACTGTGCTCCTGGAAACTCCTGTGCTACACTTGTGCTACGGCATGCGGTTTTCTGCAGTTTCAAGTTTACAGAAAATGATTAACTTGGCACTATGCTGAATACCAACAGGTGCATTGGTTTTTCATTAACGCTAAATCAATGACTAATTTCGCTCCCAGTAGCGCCATTCTGACGCCAAAGTGCAATGTAAAGGCGTCAGCGTCGAAACAAATTCATCCGCGCAGGGAACATGTCGCAATACAGTTATTAGAACAAAAGGAGATGACGCAAACCATTATCAAACAACGCACGGTTGCAGCAATTACGCCCATAGCTCGCGATGTCGGATGACAGCATCACTCACTTCAGCCGGTGACGGGCAGCTAACTCACTTCACCATGGCCCAAGAACCCTCGGTTGCCATTGCCGCTTCGGTAGCGGCGCCAACGCGCAACCCTCGTCTACGACACGCCTGGCCTGCAACGTCATGGCTGGCCTGGCGTCACGGCTGACCTTGGGGCCTTGCCTGACCTGGAGTCGAGTCTCACCTGGGCTGGCGTCCCGCTCGAGCAGCACGTGGTCCCGACCGGCTCGCTTCAGCAGGTAGCCCATCTGCAGACCGGCCGGGCCGGCGCCGATGACGCAGTACTCCGTGACGTCACCGGGGTCACGTGACCGGCCGGAGGTCAAGGCCAGTTGGCCGGCGATTGGCAGGAGAAGCAGCAGAACACCGCGCCATGATAGCATTAGAGAGGCCAACTGAAACAAGGCGAGAATGCGTTGGTAACCCGCTTAGGCTCAAGTCATGGACGTGCTGATGAAACGTGACGCTGACCTGTTGATACCCACATCTTCTGAAGTCTCTGCCGGCCCCGCCCCCTCCTCTCATTTATAGCTACGCATTTTGCGGGCAAAGGCTGACGGTGCTGGAGCACGGTATGGGCTTTTGGCATTGTTCGTGGACCTGATACACGGAAAACGGAAGCACCGCGAGCGCTTCGAAACGGGAAAGGATTTCGGACGTAAACTACCACCAGGAACTGCGGAAAGCCCAGAATAATTCCGAAAGAATTAATCGGGCATGTCAGACGACATTCCACTGGTGAGGAGAGGGGCTGCTGGTCGTCTCCCCTCTCCTCTCGGGGAATATAACGCCCCCGGACGTACAATGATAAGAACCGTGAGCATGTACAAACGTCCATAGTATCAAGCTTTCTTAACACGCGCTCCGGTGGGGGGGGGGGGGTCAAATTGACCCCCGAAGGTTTTTCCAGAATGGTTTCCGAACAGCGTGGAGTAGCCGCGTCACATTTTGCAAAGCTGTTCACATTTGAATAGCGGATCGTGTGGTGTAAAAAGGCAGATGTACCTGATAAGGTAACTTACCTATGGCCGGTCAAAGTCAGGCCATGGTTTCAGCAAGGTCAGTTTCTAGGGAATCTTTCAATCTGATGCAACAACGGAGTGTTTGACGAAGCTATCCATATTTGAAATGCTTTATTATGCAACACAAGCATTGCATGAGCAAATTAAGTTGAACTATGGTCGGGTGTGAAGGTCATACCAAGGCCAAAATCAAGCTGTTTTATTGCTCTAGAGTATGCTGTATGGGATATACTTAGAGGTCACAATAGGTCATTGACCTAAGCTGACCCAGGTGGACACTTCTTAAAGAACATACTGCCAAGCGTAATCTTTGTCCCTTATTCATTTGCAAAACTCGGGACAGTCTTGTCAGATTTTGGTCACCATGACCTTCAAAAGGTCAAACAAGGTCAATGCCCTTAAATGAGCTTGTGACATTTTGCTTAGAAACAGTTATCTAGGTCCTGGGGGAACTTTTGACACCAACCTGAAATTTGACCTTGTTTGACCTTATTTGACCCGAAGGGCATGCCCTAGCAGCCTCAAAATTTGACCTAAAAGATTTCACGCACAGGTCAACACACCCTGCAAATTTGGTGTCTCTAGCTTTCTTATTTCCCGGGATCTTAGGGAGGGCGGGGGTCAAATTGACCCCCTCCCCACCCGAGCGAAGGGTACCTAGCCGGCCACCGGGGCGCGTGTTAAAAGGAATGTTCCACATTTGTAGGGCGTTTGGAACTGAAGTTGCCGTCTTGAGGACAGTATGATGCAGTTCAAGGATATGCCCTTTTTAAAACCCAGAACGCTCTGCTTCCTGAGTTACACGCCCGCAAAGTACGAAAAGGCCTATTTGCAGCCAACTTCAAAATCGCCTCCTGATTAACGATGCCATAGATAACGTCATTAGATCCCCGTGATATTATAGGCTGCTTTTTATTTATGGCCAAAACAGCATGACTGCTGACACATTCGCAAAGGCGATGCTGCTGCGCTTGTGGTACAGTCCGCGGAAGATGATTGGCTGTCAGTAAGATTTTGCTGCTGAATGCGGGTCGCGAACACAAGCGTGAGCAATTCTGGGTTGTGCGACAATCGTCGCCAACGGGCCATTTTTCTTTATTTCTAGGCCACAGGCCAATGCTATCAAAAACAACGCCACTGTCTGCAAAAAAGTACGGCACCCAAAAAATGGGCGCCCTCTTGAAGTTATAAAAAAGAGGACGCGACGACAAATCTGTCTTTTTTCTCCTGCTGGCGTTTTTTCTTCTGCTAACGCATCTCTTACCAGCTCGGTTGGCACCTTGTGTACCGGAGCACAGAACATTGTACGGGTTTATGGGTTAGCAAGGCATTATCAAATTCGGGAAACATTGAAGCAATTTTAGATATATATTTACCTAAATATTTCACACATATGGTACGGCAAATTTAAATCTTGAACAAAAAATTGTGTTTTATAAGAAAGAGCTCTTGAGCCGCAACACCATAAACCCCCGATGGGACTTTGTTTCGAAGGGAGCTCAAGTCCGGTGTTGTGACTGAAGATCTGTGCGGAAATTGTGAGAAAACCTACAATTTAATAGTCCCCCGAGCTGTGAAAATGTGAGATCACACTTATTTGACAAAAGAGTGTGAATCGGGGGCTCGAAATGCGTGTGATCACTGATGGTGTGTGCCAGTGGCTTGTATTGGTATTGATGTGATCGGGAGTGTGCGTGCGAGGTTTGTTCTTCTGAGAGAGAGCATTGTTTTGGTATTCTTCAGTCTATTGACTCCCAATATAATGTGATATTTATTGATGGCTGATATATTGTTGCCTATTGATATTGATGCCTGCCTCTACCTTTATGTTGTGTTTGAACACGACAAAGGAATGCTGGCAAACTGAGAGAAACAATAGCTTTCACTTTTTTGCAGGGCTGTTCAGAGGCAAGTACTAATACTTGTACTTCTAATGATTTTGCCAACAATGTGAACCTATTGAGGTATTACAGCATTTAATCAATCCATTGCATGCCGTTATATCAGCAATTCATTTTGGCAGAAGGGGCTGGTGTGTGCAGCTCATTAGTGGATATGCTTAGTAAAGGCTCACGTTATATGACTTTGCAAAATTGTCTTTCCCTAAATAATTCTGAAAATGTAGCTTTATTGTTACTGATGCACGTTGTACTGTCTTCACAAATCCTGTATGCAGGCGAGCGTTGCTCCTGAGAAATCAATGCCATAGCCACTGCAACTTGCATGGAATGCTGGGCGCTGAGAAAGGTGGAAAAGTATTGCTGCTGGTGTCTCGGGCAGCGCTTAATATGTTTATCATGAGCCTTGTGTGCACTGGCAGCTCCATCATTTCCTTGCATTTTGCCCATCCCACCATAACTACATGCACTTGTCATGTCCCCAGCCTTGAGCAAGCTCAGCATGTTTGCAGTGTCATTTCACCACACGTAAAATGTTCCTGTTGTTTTTTAGTTAAGCAGCCTGATGGCTGCAGCATGTTGCATGACCATGGAAGTGAAAGATGTGTGTGCATCTTTCTCACCTGCGTTTTCTGGATTCCCGAAGCAGGCTGAGCAAGTGATGCCACTTATTGGTTGTCTGCTTTGCTGAACGTGATTTGCATATTGTATCATGTGCTTTTGGGCAGCCATATGTCAGATGGGAAGTCAATACAAGAGTGCATACTTGACCCATCTTTACGTGCTGGAATTTATTATGAAAGCGGCATGGATTGCAGTCGAAAAACCATATTGTTGTTCATTATGTCATGCCACAGAACAGCACCGAGAGGGCGCCAAAATGAAGCTATTGGCCAGTGCCATAACACAATGTACCACATTGGTTCAGCATTTTTGTCAAGCCTATGAGATAGCAGCTGTAATTTATCCAACAATGCCAAAGGACTGTCTACGGTAAGAATGTCGTTGCACCACAATGGTTATATCAGGGCCAACTATTAACTGCATGAGCAATCCTAAGCAAAAAAAAAAAAAATTATTGGTAGCCCAACCTTACCATCTTTACCGTAGTTATAGCAATGCTTTGACAATCAATGCATGCCAATGACACAAATTTATTATTTTTCGCATGGCACCACACTTCCAGTTACAAATAATAAAGACAATTTTACAAATTTATTATTTTTAGCACGACACCCCATTTGCAGTTACAAACAATCAGGACAGTGACTACTGTACACATCACATGGTATCAATGTCAGGAATACAGCACTGCGCGCAACGGTGGGTCGACGATGAAGTATTGACAAAATCATAACAGCAAAGTAGCAACAGCAGCAGCACTGCATATCGCCCATTGATATTAATAATCTGACATAAAAGCTGGCGACCGCTACGTTGCGCATGTCAAACAGTCCACGAAAGCTTTCCTTACAGCCAGCACCAATACAAAAAGTATACAAATAACCCACCCACTAATCCGCCCCCCAACACAGCCCCCGCGACGAGAATCGCCGGTTGGCGTCAGCTTTCGTGCGTTTCCAGGTCTTTAGGTCTGGCTGCCAGATGCTGCCAGGTTTTGCTGTCGGCACAAGCCCATGCCATAACACCATCAAAAAATGGCGTAACGGGGTCTATTTTTATGAACTTCGAAATTGTGTTACTTAGCTTCGTTTTTGAACTTTGAAAGCTTACCAATAGTTCCCATCACATCTGCTGCCTAACTCAATGTCTTCAAATGTGGAACATTCCATTTATTAATGGCAATGTTTGCATTACACATAGATACCTCCTACAGGTTACTTCAACGAATTCATCAGCAATGCAACTTGAGTGGCTTGTGGAAAGGGCGCGTGCCGAAACTGGATGCTGCAGCCATTATTGGTATAGGCGGAGCTTTGATAGCGTCGCTCTGTGCCAAGCAACAGCAGCATTAATCATAACATCCGCATTTCTCGTTTCCCTGATGACAAACACATCCGACCGGCTCTTTGTCATACCAAACGTGTGCCTGCTGCAGTGGACAGCGGTCCTCTGATCGCTAACCTCCCCTCCTCCTCCACTCCCCCCCCCCTCCCCCCCCCCCCCCCCACCGTGCCGCCGCCCGGCAGACGCCCGACGAGCCAATTAGAGGCCGTCCGTGCCCCGAGGGTGTCAATCAGTCCTCGTCGCCGGCGACGACGCCGCCCAGGAGGCGAGAAGACGGCCATGTCATCGTCGTAAGAGGGGGTCAATAAGCTGCGGAGCCGCGATGGGGCGGGGGTGGAGCCCGTGACTCGGACGGTGTGGGTGCTCTCTGACGCGTCAGCAGAGAGGAGCGTAGGAGGATTACGTAACTGCGATCCGCTGTGGATGGCCAATCGGAGGTGCACGCAAACGGCTTTCGTTATTTCACAATGCAAAAAATGCGCCAAGGGCTGTTTCTTAGATTGAATG